ATAACATTTTTATTTTATGAAATCACATCCTGTCCCATACCAAGCACTGCATTTCTGTGGACGCCCTACATTACACGTCCATCTGTTGTCCAATCCAACACTGCTGGTATATTTTCATCATTTTATTTTTATGTCATGCTGAAGGATACTCCCAGCTACAGACCACAATGTATAGATGCAACAGAAGCATTATTGCTATATTCTGCTGCAAAACTAGTACAAAGCAGTCACACCTGGATTGCATTGAAAAAGATAAAACTGACGCGAATGACATCACTTTGATTAATACTCCAAAATGTCTAACTGTCCCTATTTGCTTGCACTTGGGACTTGGGTCTCTGAGAATCTATACACTGCAAAATATTGTGCAAGCAGGTTTTGAACCTGCATGGCTTGAAAGAAACAGATTTTGACTCTGTTGCAACATCTACTTGGCTAAGACCAGTCATATGAAACTCTCAGGAAAGTACACATGGGTCGATGTCAAGGTGTGTTCTAACAGGGAAAAAAAAAACATATATCAATCATGAGGAAATGTCAAGGTGCGATTTCATGGAATAAAAATGTTATCATTGGCAGGTTTTAAACCCACACATTCCAAGAGAAACAGATTTTGACTCTGGTGATCACTTGACAATTTGATCTTTGGTAGGTTTTGAACCCACACAGACAGATTTAGATTCTGTCGTATCAACTGCTTGGCTAAGACCAGTGAGATGCACTTCCAATGAACTCATTCAGAAGTGAATCCTCAAGGCACGTTTATCTGCATTTTGTCAGTTCTTTCAATAGCATGGTCACTGTTGATTCTTTTATCCTTGACGCAAAGTTCAATATATGACCAAAGTCTTGATGCAAACTCGGAATGATGAGTACAAGAGCAATTTAATTCTCTCCAACGGTCTTGACTTTGTTGAAGAAGAAGAGCAGATTACACATCAAACTTTCAAGTTTGATCCTAATGGCCTGGGGAATGAGGAAGAACACACATCTGTTAAGGCTGAGATTCAAGGCAAAGATTCAAAATAGCCATCTGGCCACTATTCGCTTATGTATAATGTTGGACAAATGATGAACAAGGATATGGAAACTGATAGTGCTCTATACTTCTTGATGCATATATAAAAATAGGCTCATCTATCTTTGATCTACAAGGCTTTGTTGATGCCATCTGAGACAACTTCATGTTGTCCAAAAGCACTCACTGCTTAAGAGAGTCAGGAAAGTGATGCCAGCGGTATGATTGTAGTGCTGACCAAAACTGAATGTGCATCTCAACATAGTCCTCAGGCCAATCATGAACACAAACAGATTTCTTCAAAGGTCTTGACTTGGTTGAAGAGAAAAAAGAGCAGATTACACATCAAACTTTCAAGTTTGATCCTAATGACCTGGGGAATGAGGAAGAATACACATGTGTCAAGGCTGGGATTCAAGGCAAATATTCAAAATAGCCATCTGGCCACTATTCGCTTATGTATAAGGAGGTGCACTGTATTTGAGACCTGCTCTTTTCTCGTTTTTTGAAAGTGCTGTATTGCAGTCTGTATTTAATTCATCTGTTCAGCTGAGGGAAAACATTGCGAGTGATAGGGAACAGTAGACTTGCTTTTCAGATTCACTTCTGGATGTTTTCTTTAAAGATGCTTCTAACTGTTCTTAGATAAACAGTTAATACAACAGAATCCAAATCTGTTCTAAAGCAGACACCTTCTGTCAAGAGAACTGTAACCCAGCTGCATTCTCTGAGTTTGAAAATCAATTTTTGAGATACTGTCTATCAGCAGATATTTGAGACATTTTCTTGTGGAAAAAATGCAACATTCAACAGATTTCAAACCTGTTGCACTCCAATGGAAACAGATTTTTATTCTGTCAGGACGACCACTTGGCTAAACACAACTCTGATGAGCTTGTAAGCAAACCGACCATGAGCATATGTCAAGGTGTGGTTTTATTAAAAAAATGAATTTTATCATTGGCAGGTTTGAAACCTACATGGTCCAAGAGAAACAGATTTTGACTGTGATAATCACTAGGAATTTCATTTTTAGCAGGTTTTGAACCCATACACTTAGATTTGAAACAGATTTGGATTCTGTTGTAGCAACTGCTTGACTAACACCATTTGAATGCATGCTTAAAGAAAACATTCCAAAGTGAATATGCAAGGCAAGTATACTGTTCCCTGTCACTCGCAATGTTTTCCCTCAGCTAAACAGATGAATTGAATACAGACTGCAATACAATACTTTCAAAAAAAAAAAACGAGCAGGTCTCAAATACAGTGCACCTCAACCTTATACATAAGCAAATAGTTGCCAGATGGCTATTTTGAATATTTGCCTTGAATCCCAGCCTTGACACATGTGTATTCTTCCTCATTCCCCAGGTCATTAGGATCAAACTTGAAAGTTTGATGTGTAATCTGCTCTTCTTTCTCTTCAACCAAGTCAAGACCTTTGAAGAAATCTGTTTGTGTTCATGATTGGCCTGAGGACTATGTTGAGATGCACATTCAGTTTTGGTCAGCACTACAATCATACCGCTGGTATCACTTTCCTGACTCTCTTAAGCAGTGAGTGCTTTTGGACAACATGAAGTTGTCTCAGATGGCATCAACAAAGCCTTGTAGATCAAAGATAGAACACACATTTGTACCGTGTGGCAGCAGGATGAAAGCTATACAACCCCAAAGAATGATTTGAGGCATTTGTGCTCAGGATGCGGAGCCATGTCACATGGAGCCCAGAGGTGTTCTTGAACACAGAAAAGTGCATCCACAAACACCATATAAAGCAGATGTTTGAGAGCACAAGCCATAATATCAAAATACACAGGAGTCAATGTCAAGGTGTGTTCTGACAGGAAAAAAAAACCTCATATATCATTTATGAGGAAATGTCAAGGTGTGATTTCACAAAATAAAATATTATCACTGGCAGGTTTCAAACCTGTGCAGTCCAAGAGAAACAGATTTTGACTCTGATAATCACTTGATAATTTCATCTTTAGCAGGTTTTGAACCCACACAGACAGATTTAGATTCTGTTGTATCGACTGCTTAGCTAAGACCAGTTAGATGTGCTTCAAATGAACCCATTCAGAAGTGAATCCTCAAGGTACATTTATCTGCATTTTGTCAGTTCCAATATTCATTTTCAACATCCTTCTTGAGTCCCAATCATATGTGAACCTTCCATTGTCAGTTGTCATTCATGACCCAGTTGTTTCACTTCTGAATGAGTTCACTGGAAGTGCATCTCACTGGTCTTAGCCAAGCAGTCGATACGACAGAATCTAAATCTGTTTGTATGGGTTCAAAACTTACTTAGAGCCTATACAGCAGCCGATTATTATACAGATTATTATTATTGCTTTAGATTATTTGTATAGATTATTCCCACGAACCTGGTGTGACTTTTTGGTGCTCTCTGATGTCACCTAAATGTCACTCACCCAAACCCTAACATAGGGGCAAAACTGCGACCATGCCTCATCCAAAGGACCTGCCACAAAGGCTCAATCTCTTACAGACTGTTGTAGCAATGATTGTACAGCTAATTATGGCAATTTCTATAGCCTATATTACTTCATACCTTGACAAAGACCTATATCATACTTCTATATTGTCTGGCTTTGCATGGCTCCAGGAACTTCTCAATGGACACCCAGAAAGGATCAAAAATGAACTTGGGATGCACAAACATGTATTTGTTGCACTTGTTCAAGAATTACGGGAGTCTGGTTTGGATGACTCAAAATTTCTCACACTTGAAGAACAAACAGCAATTTTCTTGTATACCTGTGTGACAGGCCTCAAGAGTTGTCATGTTGCTGAGAGGTTTCAACACTCACACACCACAATCACAAAGTACTTTTTTATCTTCTCAATTCTTGTCTGCTTGACTGAGACAAACCAGGTACTTCAAATGAATTCTTCTCGCTCTTTTGTCTTCGCCTTTCTACAAGAGATACGTCTTTTTGCCAAAGAAGATTATCCTATTCCACATGAAATTTGTGATAACCCCATATTCTTTTGGTACTTTGCAGGAGCTCTTGGGGCAATTGATGGCACTCACATCAACTGTTGCCCCTCTGTGGATGAGAGGCATCTTGCATGTAACTGAAAAGGGGGAGTCAGTCAGAACTGCCTGGCATGCTGTTCTTTCGACCTTCGATTCCAGTATATCCTCAGTGGTTGGGATGGATCAGTATCAGATGCCATGCTATTCAATGAAGCTCGGTTGACAGATCTGTTTGTTCCAAAAGGGAAATATTATCTTGCTGATGCAGGGTTTGGTATATGTGAAACATTGCTTGTACCTCACTAAAATGTTCGCTACCATCTTGCAGAGTGGGGTCGAGCTGCTGTCAGGTTTGTATTTTCAAGGCCTTGAATCTGTTCACAAACTAACATCTTCTGCTAGACCAAAAAATTCACATGAATTGTACAATCTACGACATGCTCAAGCATGAAATGTTGTTGAACGTATTTTCGGCATACTCAAGAGACGATTTCCGATACTCATAAACCCACCAGAATATAGTATGACATTTCAAGCTCGTATCCCTCCTGCACTCTGTGCTATACACAACTTTATCTGAATTCAATGATGGTAGTATTGATGGTTCAGAGTTGGAGGATGGTAGAGGATATCTAGCAGAAGGACCAGCAAATTTTGAAGAATGAGAAGCAGCAAAGGAACAAAGAGAAGAGATAGGAAACATGATGTGGTAAGACTACCAGTTATTCCTGCACAAACATCAACGAGCAAGTAGAAGGCAGTAGAGGTTAACCTAATATATTGGCATAGAAGGAACAAAAATTATTGACTATTGATCTGTGTGATTTTTCGATTGATAAACAAGCGACGAGCATTGTCATCCTGCATTACCATATATGCATCTGCAGTGCTAACATCAGTCTGGAAGGCCTCAATAAGAGCAGCCATTTCATCAGCAGTGAGATGAGTCTCGACGTTCTGTGCATGCTGCCTTCAAATTGGTGATGGGGCAAGAGAGGATAACTGAGGTTGAGAACTTGAGCGAAATGTGTCAGTGAAGTCCAAAAATTTTTCAGCAATAGCAAACAGTGCTGCAGCACCACTCGAACGATGCCTCTTTGATGCTGGAGTGAAAGTTGAACTGGTAGAAGTAGAGATGTTGTCAGATTTTCACTTGAGAAGGGGAGCTGGAGTGTGTCTTCGACGAGGTGGAGTCTTTTCCCAAGGGATAAGGTCTTCATCATCCTCACCCTCATCCAGAATGTCCTGATGATCTCGAGACACATCCTCAGGCCCAGGCTGCAGAAGACCCTCTTCATTCAGAAAATCGAGATTAGGTGATGGCTTGCGAGGCTCCTCGAGTGCAGCATGAAATGCATGAGTTCCTTTCAAAGCAGTGGTAGACAAAAGAGCATCAACTTTGTCAAAGTGTGGCCATCCCTTATTGTGAAATGGTGCAGCATCAGGGCGCCTCTTACATAAAAAATGAGATACATAGTATACCACAAGACAAAAAAATGTACCTTGATATATGCAGCCCATACTGCCTCTGATGTACTGTCAATACCAGCACCAAGCTTGTTGTCCCAAGCAAGCCAGACTGAGCCTTGATATCGAGAACAATCATGTATTTTTTTGTATTTGAAAATGTGTGAGTTACATCAAGAACAAAATATATGCACGTACTGCAGCCCATTTGTTCTTGCAAGCATGAGAATCTCTTGCAACAGGTGGCACCCATCCTTCTTTTGAAACTCCTTCAGGGGGCTCGAGGAAATGGGCAGCCGCAGCTTGAAAGACTCCAATCTTGAAGTTCATTCCATCACCAGCCTCCGATCTATGTGCAGCCAGAAACTTAATTAGGCTTGAGGTGTGATCTTCAGTCCAATGGACCCGAGTAGAAGAGGATGTTGAAGTTTCAGCTGGTACATTTTCTTCTGCTGCTGAACGAGTTTTTCTGAACTTTGTTTTCTTAGGCTTTGCTGCCACTGATTTCAGCGAGTGAGCCATATCTGATGGTGAGGAGGTTCAGTGCAGTGCGGAGTCACAGTGTATGTCACACAAAGGTCACCCTCAAGATCACAGCGCGGGAATAATCTGCATGAATAATCGTACAACATAATCCATCGCTGTACAGGCTCTTACTAAAGATTAAATTGCCAAGTGATCACCAGAGTCAAAATCTCATAGTGACATGATAGTGAACATCAGGAAAGTGAGTTGTATGCGCAATAATAACGGGAACAGATGTGGATAATAAAAGAACAATGATATTCACAATGTCAACTATGAACTACGAATTATTGGATTTGACCCCTAAGCATTGGAGAATGGCTATCCTCTACTTGAATGATGAATGATACTTGAAGTCAGTCCAATATTTTTGGGTCTGATGTCCGATGTAATAACCCATGAGATGCTGTGGACTATAAGAATACATGTAATAATGTGGTCTATAATCTTAGCAATGTGAAAGCAACTCATAATGCACCTAGTGGGGCTAGCATGATGGAACTGGACATAGGTAGGACAAGTAAATGTGATATTCAATAGGCTAATGTGAAACCTAATGTGATGTCTGATAATCTGATGTCCAATGCTTTCAGGTTTCTTGCATATTGAGTTGGATATGATATGAAGTGATTTGGGTAATAATCAACATTCAAGGTGCATCAGGAAATCGACCTCTATGAGGCCACAAGGACTCCAAGTCTTACAGCACTTCAAATGGGCTTGGTCAATTGAGGGCTTGCAATGCCTTATAAGGTATGCCAAGCAAAAATAACTTTTTCTAACATACTGTTCCATGGGAAATGCACAATTTTCACTTATTTCTAAATAACAACACAACAACAACACATATTCATACTATCAGATCTATTGTAGTGTATGTCTTAGGTCTCTGCACATTAGGCCCAACAATATTTTATTTTATTTTGTTGAAAGCTTGTTGCAGCAGTATGTCATGCATGGTACCTCAGCCAATATACAATTATGTTCATAGCAAAGAATCCACATCATTCAATTAACACCAAATGCAAACAAAGCAGAGACTCAATCAAGCCAAGAGTGTGATTTTCTGATTTAGCCTGACTGCACAGTTTGCTCATGAATCATGAATAGCATGCTGTAGTGGTGTTCTATTGACATAGAAACACCTGGAGTAGATTCAGAATGAGGTATTTTATATATATTAAAGTTCCTATGTTGATAGGTTGATGGGATCTGGGTTGATCTTGACTTTAGTGTCTGAAACACTGGAAGCATGAAAGACTTTTTTACAAATTTTTCAACATTTTGCTTGCTGAAAAAGTCTTTCATGCTTCCAGTGAAAATCACACATTTTGGATACACTTAAGCAATGTTTCATCCCAGGAAGGCTCTACAGCATCAATTTTAAAATTTTGATTTGGTAGACCTCTTTAATATATGCTAATACTTGTTCTCCAGCTGTTCCAAATAAAATATATGTAGAGTTGTGAGCTCTGGAGTGCATTGTGCATTACACATTGATTCTGTATTCTGAAACCCTAACTTCCTAAGGAGGGTTCTGTAGTAAGGATACACCTAATTCTCTACCAAATCAATTGTGGGAATTTTTTATATCGGCGATTATTTCAGCATTGTGGTGATCTTTGCCTTTGCCCCTGGTTATCTTCTTCCCACTGTGATTCTCACTAGCTCCTTGGTGTGTTCTTTTATTGTTAGAAATACCTTGCACACTTGTTGTATAGGGGTATGTTCCTGGTAAAGATGCCTTCGTGTGTTCCTCATGTGTTGGATGAGGGGCTTTGCATGCACCAACAGTCCTACCTACCAATGCCTTGCATCCGAGAGACTTACCTTTCTGGCAAAGTTTTAGAGAAGGCAAAATTGAAAGGTTCTCTGTGGTGCTTACCACAGACACCTTGATTCAGAATATACCAGATCCTTCACAATTTTCTGTGTCTTGCCTGAATTGTTCCAACATAGGCAGTGAGTGGTTTGTTTCATGTCTCATCGCACATGCACTAATGATCCATCGTACCCAGATGGAGATACCATGAAAAGTCCCTGTAAATTATCACAGACTGTCGCATGACCTTGAGACTATGCTGACATATAAACATGTCAGCCAAGGCTAGGGTGGCCACCATGGCTGGAGGAGGAGATAGTCCCTTATCAATGAACAATGGTACATCTAGACATGTAGAAGCTGAGATTATCCTTGTTTATTGTCCGGTGGGGCATGGCACTATGTTGGACAAAACCTACAGTATGTACTATCATGTGTGTATACTCTTTCTACATATGTGATAACTTCTCTAGTGGTTCAGGCGTAGGTGTCATATCCCGTGTTCCGGACCCGGACCTATCACACACATCATTTCCGGATTTCCGGATCCGGCCGACTTCTATGTATCGTCCGGATCCGACCCACGTCTAACTTCCGTGCCTTATCCCTTTGAACGATCCTTCTTGAGTTAGACTTCCTCATTTTCCGTACCTCGTTTCATTTCCAGCTTTATTTTCCATGTCTTCATCTCCGTCTTCATTTACTATTTTCAGATAGACTAGTGTTTGACTTTTCTACATCCTCCGTCCACAGCCTCGCATAGCTTCAGACTGCGCTGACTGACTCTCCATTAAGTCCTCTGTAGTATATAAACTCTGTAGAATCTTTGTACTTCCTCAGTTCAAATATTATCTTAGACTCTGCTCATTCCCTCCTCCGTCTGACTTGAGTTCTCCTCTCGTCGTCCTCTGATAGTCTTAGGATCGACTCCTATAGACTTAACACCTCCGCCTCTACCTTTGGTAGTCCTCCACTGTTTCCTTTCTAGTTTGGACATCATCTGGATTAGTCTTATCACTTGTTTCCGAACGTCCGCCGGAATTCCCGTGCATCGGACATCGGACTCCGGACATCGTCTATTAGCCCTTGGAAGTTAGGGGCACGTACTCAGGTGAGGGGCGCAGTGCACGAGCTGAAGCCAAGCCCTTCGGATCCGACCCTTGAGCACATTGTAGAGACTCGTGCCTCACATTGTGTGATATGGCAGTTTTCACTAGGGAGTACATGGCACGAACTTGTAGCATCACTCTGCATGCTATCCGCAGCTATTCCTATATGAGGCGCAGCTTTTCCACACAACATGCACGCACACTTCCCGCGCTTCACGATGTATATGCGCGCGTGCTTTCCCGCGCTTGAGCGCCCTATAGCGCCAGCCATCCAGAAGCATCCATCCACTGTCCACCAAGTTCTCTAGTGCGTATATTTCCATTTCTCTCATTTGCATATTGTTCCACCTTTATTCTTATCATGGACCCTTACTTACATATATATTTACATACCTCACTCGGTAGCGCTTCGGCTCTGCATGACAGTGCTTAGGCGCTGTATATAAGCGCCAGCAGTACATAATATTACTCACCTAACTCACTTTCCACTTTACCTCCCACTTACCCACTTACTACCTAGCAGAATATAGTTGCAATCTATTCTTTGGCACCTCGTCTCTCAGCTTGCATCTCTCACCTCATCTAATATCTAATCATCACTTAAGCAAACTCACTCTTACTCTCTCTCATTTCCGCTCACGCGCGTGCGCGCTTCCCGCACCTTGCGCGCACCTTCGCTTTCCTGCGCCTCGTCATGCGCACCTGTGCTTTCATGCGCTCCGCATCAGCCAACCAGTAGCGCCTACTACCAGATCCTTGCTGCACTCGCTTCCCCTTTAGGGTCGAATGCACTTGTCGTCTCAAGTATAGCAGACTAGGCAACGCGCGACCTCACAACATTATAGATACAGTCAGGAGCCTCATTTGTTCCTCTCAGTATTGTTGTTTCTACAATGTTCTTAACAGTAGGTGCGAGAACTGGGACACCATCTGAAGACAAAGGATATATGATGACAAGGTGGGTTTTTGGGTGACTGCGCTGGGGAGTGGCTTTCATTCTTTTGGTTCGGGGGTGTGACATCTTTAAAAACAGTCCCGAATCTTCGGGTTTGTGCTATGTACCTGAGGAGTGGTCTGATACATTGTTTGTTACTGAGAAGATGTTTGAGTTGTCCTGCCTGTGGACCTGCTTCTGCTATAAGTGCTCTTCTCTGTCATTGGTATGTGTGTCACAACATCAAATAGTGGTGGATCATCTCATCTCTCTTGTTGCACTGCTGGCAGCGTGCTGAGGGGGACTTCGCTATGCGATTAAGGTATTTGTTTAGTGGGACATGCCTGGAGCGGAGCTGGAAGAGTACTGAGCTGTGGCGGCGAGGAAGTTCATCAACTATTTTGGCAAAACAGTTTGACAGTGTAGGGAATGATTCCTGGCTAGGCTTGCAGAAACTGTTTTTACCTTAGTGTTATGTTTGCACTTTTGTAGCTTAGATAATCAAGTTACCTTTTCACTAGTTCTACTATGAGTCTGAGTCTTCAGCAAGTTTCTATCATATTTCCTCTTCTCTGAGCCTTAAGCCTGGTCCAGAAACCCTTTAGGGTTAAATAGCAGCTAGGTTCTGCAAGACCCAACACATTGTTTAGTATACACCATCTGAATTGTTGTACCCACAACGGGGCTGTGGGGTCAATTGAGCATAGGTACTTGTAGTGGGGTGAGCTTTGCATGATCTTTGACACTTCCTCTTTGATGGTTCCATAGAACTGCTGTTTGGTTGCTGACTTGCTTAAAGGAAGGGTAATAGGGGAGTGTGTCCTTGTTCAGAGGAATTTGGGTAGCTGTCTGGCATCTGACGCCTCGCCTCTTGCTGCTCATTTCGCCTGCTCATCGGCTGCCTCATTCCTTGCTATTCCCTTGTGCCCTGGTGTCTATCTGATCATTAATGTTCTGCTGTCATTGGAGGAGATAACTTCTCTGAGGTTGTTGTAAAGTATATCAATGAGGTAGTGTCCTAGTTGGGAATGGAGGGCGCACATCGTTCTTATCACTGCTTGGTTGTCCATCCCTAACTACATTGTGTACATTTGTTTCCTTCCTCCTGTCTCCTTCAAAAGTTCGACCACTAAGATCATTTCTGCTATTTCTGCCTCGTAGACGATGTGTTCCTCTATCTTTCCCAAGTGGAACCTTTTCTCGCTGACCATTCTTCCTTCTCTCATCAGCACTGCTGCCACTCCTACTCTACCATCTACCGCCAACCCATCTGAGTATACTCTTATTGTCTTGTTGGCTGCTTCTTCCTCCTCTATGACTTTTCTCTCTTTCTGCGCGATGCTGATGGTTATGTCCAGGTTCCACTTTGGGAAGTGGTGGACAGGTAGAATTTTCTCCATCATGATTGGATTGGTTCTGAATTCGTTCATCAGTTTATGGAGTGGGGATGGGTGGCATTTCTGTCCTGTAAAGTCCCTTTTCTTGCAGTATTTGAACACTGCCCTTATCTCGCTAGCCAGTGGGTGTGTCGAAGGGAGTGTGGCCATTCTGAGTGTAGCTCTGTAGCATATCTTGTAGATTGATTGCTGGATGGGTAGAATGTTAGCATGTGTGTCTAAAATGCCTATGGCTGATGATCTTAGTCCTCCTGTAATGAGTAGCATTGTTATGCACTGTACTCTTGCCATTTGGGATATGAAGTCTTAGGTGCCTCTGCCTCCTCCTTTGTTGCTGTTGTTTTTGGCTACTAGTCCTGTGCACCAAATGTCAGCTGTGTATATCATTTTGGGAATGACCACCCCCTCATAGAGTCTCTTCACTAATCGTCCGTGTATCCCTTTGGTAGGGCTAATCATCCTCTTGCATACCATCATATACACCATGCCCTTGGCAAGGGCTCGTGTGGTGTATTCTTTGAACTTCAGCTCATCATCGATTATGATGCCCAGGAACTTGTGCGAGCATGATGGGTTGATAACATGGTTTCTTATGGTAATTGGGAGGCGCGGGACTGGCTCTGTTTTGTGTGGGTTGTCTGCACTTGGAAGTCTTCATAGGCAGAGTAAGGCGGTCTTATCTAGTTCAAATTCTGTATTGTGTTTCTCACTCCATTTGAGGGTGCCGTCTCTCTTTTCCATCATGTTCTTGAGCTTGGTGTTAGACTCCTCATATGATTTTCCTCTGGCTGCTACTGCGACCTCGTCGATGAATCCTAGGCTAAGTTCTCCTCTATGTGGGTTCGGGTCGGCTACACGTAAGACTTCTGCATTATAGAAGATAAAGCTTAGCAGTGACATGGAACAACCTTGATCTACTCCATCTGCTATGTTGAAGACTTCTGATTGGAAGTTGTCAAATACCAGTACTGTCTTGCAGTTCTCTAGCCTGCTTCCATACCAGTCTACATATTCTTTGGGGATGCCTGCATTGCGGAGGGTGTGTAGTAGCTTGCTTACAACGATACTTGGGAATGCTGCCTTGACGTCAAGAACAGGAGTGAGACATATTTGTCCTTGGAGGCCCATGTGTCCATGATGAATTTCGTTAAGAGGTGCAGTGAGTCGGTGGTGGATCTGCCTGGGTGACCTCCAAAGTGCATTGGGGGGAGGAGACCATTGCTCTCTATAATATACATGATATTATCCACTATGCATGATGATAGTATTTTGGCCATCGTATCGAGAAGCATAATGGGGCGATACACCTTTGGTGCACTGTAGTCTGGGCAGCCTGGTTTGCGCAAGATTATCATTGATGAACATTTCCATTCCTCTGAGTAGATGCCTAGAGTGAACGTGGCCCGAAAGATCAGGGCCATGTATGGTACTAACAGGTCAGTGCATTTCATGTACACTATGTTGCTGACCCTGTTGAGTCCAGGCTTTGAATGGAGATAGGCAGTTGATGGCTCTGTGAATTTGCTGGTTAGTTATTAGTTCAAACTTGCATACTGAGGGAGGATAAATAAAACTGGGATTTACGAAATTGTTTTCTGGGGGAGGATGGAAGAATACTTGATATAATAGTTTGCTTTTTTATTTGTTGTTTTGTGTGGTGGTGTTTGGTGCTGCTTGAGGGTCTTAAAGGGTCTTGATTCTGGTATGGATCTGGTCTGTTGGGTTGTTAGCTGTGTACTTGTGGAAGGTCCATGTTCCCAAGAGCATTAGTGTCTCTAACTATTCCTTCCAATGGTGTTCTTTCGCCCTTTTGATGCTCTCTGAGAAGCGGTTGTGTGCCTGGCAATATTCATTGTGGATTGGGTCTGTTGCTCTGCTTGATCGGGTGTGCACCTTCCGTCCTAGTTTGCATACGTGTTTGTGTTCTGTATCTAGATCTTTTGACCACCATCTTTTGGCCTAAGGTGATGGTTTGATGCAAGGGACTCTCTTACTGACTGTCTGTTGGATTACATTAGTAAGTGCAGAGAATGCCTCATGGAACTGGTCTTGGGAGTTTATCTCGACCACTGGGAGGATAGCTTTGAGTTTGGCGGTTAGCATCTTCCTGAACTCCTCTCATTCAACTTCTTGGTAATTTAGGTGTGGGAAGGTGTCTATGTGCTCCAGTTGTAAATCTATGGTGCTAACTATGGGGAAGTGGTTAGTTATTACTGGTTGAAGATGTGGTTCCACATTGCAGTAGGTGAACTTTTCTGCAAAGTTGGCTGAGCAGAAGACATTGTCTGGTCTGGTGTGGTTCTTGGTGTTGGAGGCTTCTAATGTGGCTATGGCTTGTGGGAGGACTTAAACCATGTTGTACAGGGCTAGGAGGTTAATTAGTGCGCCTGCAGCATCTAGGTTCACTGCAGAAAAAGATGAGTATTATGAGGGGAGCGAGTTGTCGCGAGCTTTGCTCTCCTCTCATGTGTCATTCCAAGAAGTCCAAAGTGTGGTTACTGTCGCATGGGTTATATATATTGTATATGTGTACCTTGCCAAAGGGGCCAGTAAGTTCTATTGACATGGTGTTGGGGGGTTTGAGCAGGACAATGTGCCAAGTGTTCTTCAATAGTCGTTTGTTGACTAGCATTATGACCTGTGAGCACTGTGGGAATGAGTGATGATCAGCTAGATATATTACGTCCCACCAGGATCTGAGGTTGGACGTGTTGGCAAGATTGACCAGGTTGAGATATGGTTCTTGGATGTATGCTAAGTCATATATCTCCAGGTCTAGGCTTTTGATCATATGCTCCCACGCTGGGGAGGACTTGCATAGGTTTTGTTGCCAGATCTTGAAGTCATCTCTCGTGTCTTGGTTATTTGGTGCATCTGTCATCAGTTCCAGCTGGAGATGTTGTTTGCTGTACCTGGGATATATGGAGCCAGTGGTGGGGTGAGTAGCCAGTGCGGCAGGGTGCTGGGTTGGAGGTCTTGCTGGTCAAGGGGTTGGAGGTCTGCATTGGATGGCGATGAAGTTGGGAGTTGGAGTTGAGCCATTCTTCTGGTAGGCAGTGTTGAGCTTGTGGGCCTAGAATGAAATTAGTGTTTTGGGGTGGTCTCTTTAGTGGGTGTTGGCAGTTTCTGTTGACTTCCTGCCATTCATGCTGATTGTTGGTTGGTTGCGTGTGATGCTGTTTCTGTTGGAGGTTTGAGTTAGTAGATGTATGCCGCTGCATGAACTCCAATCTATTGTTATCAGCATTGGGAACAGTATAGAGACTCGTGCCTCTCATTGTGTGATATGGCAGTTTTCACTAGGGAGTACATGGCACGAACTTGTAGCATCACTCTGCATGCTATCCGCAGCTATTCCTATATGAGGCGTAGCTTTCCTGCGCAACGCTGTAGGGATTCATTTCTGGCTGGGCTTGTAGAGACTGTTTTTACCTTACCTTATGTTGGCACTTTTGTAGCTTACATAAGCAAGTTATCTTTTCACCAGTTACCAGTATGAGTTAGAGTACTCAGCAAGTTTTCATGATATTTCCTCTCCTCTGAGCCTTGAGCCTGGTCCAGAAACCCTTTAGGGTCAAATAGCAGCTAGGTTCTGCAAGACCCAACATTGTTCAGACTCACCATCTGAATTGTTGTACCTTCAATGCGCAACATGCGCATGCACTTTCCCGCTGTAGAGACTCGCGCCTCTCAATGCCTGATATACGGCCCTATGAACCACATATTCCCTACATGTTCCAGCTCTTATCCAAAGGATCAGTCATATGCGCTCCCGCGCACGCGCCCTACGTACGTGTCTCATTTGCATGCCTTATATGCACTCGCGCCTTCCGCACGCCTCCCCTTAGGTTCGCGCGCCTACCTGTCCGTCCTATGTCCTCACTGATTTACTGGTGCGTTATTCTTATCTCTTCCACTGAATTGACGTACACTTGGTCCGATCCCCGCGCTTACATACAGAAAGTCTATCTTAGGCTTTAGAATATATTTAGAGTTGATATGGTTACTCAGTTCGGTACCGCGCTCGGAAGCGCGCCGCATAGCGCTATCTCCCTTCTTAAATAAAGGAAAAGTTCCTTCTACTTTGGTTACTACTTTTCCCCCCATTTATCTCAGTATACTGCAAGTTGTATAGTGCACCTTAGTACTTGAAATCAGATTATACTTCTCTATCTGCTACAGCTTGCACTTCTACTATACTTGAAAACTCTTCCCTTATCGCTCATAAGTGCACTTCCGCATACGCGCATGCCCCTCACATCTCACGCGCCTTCACATCACTCACGCACGCATCTCGCGCGCCTTTGCATTGCTTACGTGCGTTATCTTCTCGCGCCTACCAGCGCCCGTCTAGTTGACAGAGTTTCCCTCCACCTTATTCGCGAGGAACTTCTCTCAGTAGCTGTCCTTTGGGTCGAGTCATATTCTCGTATCCAGGTCTTGCTGTAGAGCCCCCTTCTTTTAGTGTTTCCACCCACAGTCAAGATTCCTCACCTTCACCGCGCTTCACGATGTATATGTGCGCGCTTTCCCGCACTTGAGCGCCCTATAGCGCCAGCCATCCAGAAGCATCCATCCACTGTCCACCAAGCTCTCTAGTGCATATATTTCCATTTCTCTTATTTGCACATCATTCCACCTTTATTTTATCATAAACCCTTACTTACATATATCTTTACATACCTTACTCGGTAGCGCTTCGGCTCCGCATGACAGCGCTTAGGCGCCATATAAGCGCCAGCATTACATACTATTACGGACTTTCCACTTGACCTCCCACTTACCCACTTACTACCTAGCAGAATATAGTTGCAATCTATTCCTTGGCACCTCACACTCACATCTCTGGTCTTGCATCATATCACCACTTAAGCAAACTCAATCTTACTCTCTCATTTCCGCTCACACGTGTGCGCGCTTCCCGCGCCTTGCGCACACCTGCACTTTCCCGCACTTCGCATTAGCCAACCAACAGCGCCTACTTCTAGATCCTTGCTGCACTCGCTTCCCCTTTAGGGTCGAATGCACTTGTCGTCTCAAGTATAGCAGACTAGGCAACGCGCGACCTTACAACATTTATAGATACAGTCAGGAGCATCATTTGTTCCTCTCAGTATTGTTGTTTCTACACCGGACCCTCACCCACACCTGTGCTCGGGTTTGACCAGTACATTACCTAATCGAGAACTATAGCGGTACTTACACTTGTACTCAACTGCCTAGTACTTATTCATCAGGCAAATGACCTGAAAATGATAATTCTTTAGAAAGCTTTATCTGATCTAAAATACGCACAATATGTATCAAAATTGTACCCAAAATGAGAAAGCTTTGAATACCCGGACTTAGTTCGACGGATCGGCCAAATGCAAAGTTGTGACATCCAACTGCAACTGCCTGCCGGTTATCGCCGAGATGGTATATATTACAACATCCACCTACCGTTGCGAAGGAAGGTTAGGTTGTTGAGAGCGACCATTGCTGCATAGTTGAGGACCAGTGGCAATGCACTATCATCCCTGGTTGTGATATATAACCTTTGATTGTTTTTGCAATATCTGAATAAATGCCAGTGTCACATAAAAATTTATATGGCCGGACTGCATTGGACCAACACCACCTAGAGCTCAAGGTTGTCACATACCTACAATGCAGTACCAAGCTGTATCACCTTGGTTGCTTTAAGCAAGAAGAGCTTGTCATTATACCAGCGACAAAAATTCCCTTGGTGTTGACATTAGATATGTAGTTGAAACACTAGCCTGTGTTGCTAACATCTACCAAGTATACTGTTCAGGCGACGAGCGACAGTACACTATGATCCCGCTTAGCCCTGATGAAACCCGATAGCCATATGCACAGTTAGTCTGACATTCGATGTTCTGCCAACTCCAGAACAAAGTCAGCATCGTATATAGTTGTATATGGCTATACAAGTGGTGCTTGCTATTATGTGCTCAACAGAAACTCCCTCGGCGCTAACATCAGATATGTAGTTGAAATGTTAGATGACGTTGTCCAGACCTTTCAAGCATGCAATGTGAGTGATGAGCGGCAGTGCACCAGCACGCTGCTCATATGATAGTCACTGAATACAAAGTTAGTAAGTCATTTTATCATGCACCAACTCTCCTTAAAAGCCGGAGTCAGATAAAGCCTTCCAACGTCCGTCCGTTTTGGATTTACGCTGCCCTGGGTCCAAGGGCGCGGAACGATGATAGCGCGGTACCCTCCATCAGTTATCTGCCAAAGAATAGCCATGACTTGCAAGGTGAGCGATTTGAATTGTTCTTGGCAATATCTTCCTGATCGCCATAGCTGGGCAGGGTCCCCCAATACCAGACTGCGTTGTAGATGACTACAAACGGTGCCAAGGTGTTGATCATTAGTAATTTGGTGTCTTCCATCTTCATGCAGTTGACGTGTGATCATCGTATCTAACGGGAGCTTGATATTTTCAACTTGCTACTGCAAGCAGGATGTTAGCCGTACATTTTCTTTTGTAGGGCTTGTCACAGCGGAATTTCAGGGCTTGGCATTATGTTAGGATAGTATCTACTACATAAGGACGTGAATGAGTGCTAAGAAGGGACCACATTTGGACCCGAAATTTGTTTCAAGGCAAGGCGTTTTTGCCGGATCTTCGATAACGCACTGTTGGCAGTGATAGGTCGTTTGGCAGCAGAAGAAGTCGGAAAGACCTGGCTGAGTACATGGCGATGTATGAGCCTCGGCGACATTAGAGTGATAACAAAATTACCGATTCCACCACACCAGCAGCTCGTCGACCTCCTTTGACTCCTCAGGATCTTCCAGGAGGTCAAGGAGACTATGATAAAATGTCTCTGAGTTGGTGGCCGTGTCGGTCCTTGAGAACACCGACAACGAGGTTAAAGCGAATCGGACCTTCAGTCCATGTCAGAACTACCTGCGTACAAGAGAATGGGTGTTTGACAAACCTGGGTTGCTATGTAAGCTATGGAAGCAACAGTGACGGAATTCATGCCATGGAGATGAGCATTTCCGGATCGTGTGGCTTTCGGTTCCCTGTCAACTGAACTTGGAGACGTGAAAACGTGCTTGTAAGCCTGGTAAAATGTGTTACAGAAGAAACTTCATGAATAGACATATGCCACGCACACATACAAGTAAACGGCTCCTAAGGAGACCACACCACAGATCTTCGGCGTCATAAGTATGATGAGCATATAAAAAAACAGGCCATTGATCTCCGCAGACTAACAGCTCGCCGCTTCGAAGGTTGTCCTTGGTCCTTGTTTATAATGTGCAAAAATAAGTTATTAAGATTGCAGATATATCAAACCAAAACTTACTGTGGGTCATTCCAGTCTAATCCTGCAGGACAAAGTAGGGACCCTGTAAGCTCATGGTTAAATCTGCGCTCGATTTTCGAATTTCTGTGTAAAGGGGGTCGGATCGCTTCTCCTTTCGGGGAAATCCAATCAAGTACAGCAGATTTCAGCGTTTTCGTGTCGTCACCTCTCACGCCCGCAGCTCCTTTGCCTATCTACAAATTGTAAGCAAGAGCACTGATCATGGAGAGAAAGGCGTACAAGTTCTCCAACGTGAAGAATTTCTTCTTCAGACCCATTTTTCAATTGTTCCAAAAGGCCAGGATAAGATTCTATGAGCTGCTCGAATACACGATGTTCTCGCCGCTCTCTGCCAGATACGTCAATCAGTGAGCGAAAATAAAAAATACAGTTTTTTACTCAGCGGAAAACTCCTCCAGTGGAGTATCTTCCATCTGCTCCAGTCTCAAGATACCATTAGTAAGTAAGGAAGGGTAGTTGCACAGCGCAAACACTGTTCTTCCAAAGTGTCGTCCATGGGAAACAAGTGGGTCAGACGTAGAGCTGAGTAACAGGATGAGTTTACAAAACCCTGTGACCATCATCGAGGCAGCTTATGCCTTTTTTCGAGGCCCTATTTGAAGGGCTGACGAACCACGTTTGCTCGGAACACTGGGATTGGTGTCCTCAGTCATGAGAGCTGAAGAGGAAGAAAGTGTGGTCCAGTGTGCGCAGATCCTGGATCCTGAATCCAGGTTTTTATCTCATTACACTGTGACATAATGGGTATTGGCAGTTAGTGTCATGTTGGTGGCTGGCGGTATAGTTGACTGGCAGACTTGGCATCAGGGACGACCGGTGAAGGTACAACAATTCAGATGGTGAGTCTGAACAATGTTGGGTCTTGCAGAACCTAGCTGCTATTTGACCCTAAAGGGTTTCTGGACCAGGCTCAAGGCTCAGAGGAGAGGAAATGTCATAAAAACTGCTCAAGACTCAGACTCATACTGGTAACTAGTGAAAAGGTAACTTCCTTATGTAAGCTACAAAAGTGCCAACATAAGGTAAGGTAAAAACAGTCTCTACAAGCCCAGCCAGAAATGAATCCCTACACCGGCCCGGTTTAGTTGGCCATTTGGCCGAAATCTTAAAGAAGCGGCAATCTTGTGAAGAAGGGCAAAACACGCAACTCGCTGCGCCATCAGGGAACACATTTGAATATGGGTCAACACTTGGATCACTGGCAGACCTTTAGACTGCAAGGACAGAGTATTAACTTGAACTTACGGTAATTTCAAACCTAATGACTGGCAGCGGGGGCCTGCTAACCATGCCTTCCCTTAGAATCGAGTTCAAGGGTTACACTGATCAAAAGGGTGAGGAACTCGCCCGTTCTGGTGCAAGGTTTGTCATTAATCCTATCATCCATCATTCCCAAAGCTCATCACCAACCAGCGAAGTGAACGTTGACAACAGTCTACCAGGGGAGAACGAGGCTCCCCATCTGCCAGTAAAAGATCAAGAAACAGGCGAGGTGGAGTCAATAGACACACTCAAACAACGACTAAAACTTGCGGAACAAAACTGTGCAAGGCTTGAAGAACTTTATCAAACATACAGACTTCGTTGGTTAGAGGAAAATTATCAGGCAAGTGTGCTAGAAGTATACGCACCGGCCGGAATCGATACCTGCTCTCTGCGTCAGCTCGCATGGAATGCTCCTTCTCCGATCCAAAGTATGTCTGGCGTGTGCTTCTGGTAACAAACTGACCATCCTGCGCAGGCAAAGGCGAAGTTGAGTAAATAGAAGGATGTGGGGCACAGAGGAAGGGAGTGGTTGAGTCGCGGCACTGGATGTGGTAAGTGACCGTCGACTAACATATGCATCAAAGACAGAAGTTGCGCACCATCCAGTCAGCTGAATTGAAGAATCGATTTTTTGACATTGGAGAATAAGCTCGTAACAAAGTGATTTCCATCCTGAACCGAATAGAATTCTTAGGACAAAAGCATCCAGGCGGGTCGCATAAGAGGATGCACCACCGCGACCACTCGTACTGTCAGAAAATTGTTCATGATTCAATGGTCAACAGATGAATGATTAGGGAGACGATACCACTCACTGTCCAACCCATCTCTTTAATAGTTATTCACCAGCCAATACCCCCTCGATCTACGCCTCGGAGTCGACAACAGTTTAGTAGCCTGTGATCTCCTGCCACACCATCCAAATTTGCTTCTTGAATGGCGGAGGGATGTTGAGCAGCTTGGTTGCGCGTATGGGTGTAGTGATCATATAATGATAAAAATTTCAGTGTGCAGGAGACGTAGATGGGTGGGGCGTTGACTATCGAACCAGCCCCCCCCCCCCCTAGACGAAGGAAAATAGTCCTCGTAATCTCTTTCGATAAGGAGGAAGATGGGAGATTACTCACAAAAAGCAGATGTGTTGCCCTCCGTGTCGCGTCGCCAAGGTGCAGTCAGTGCAAAGTTGCTTTTGAAACTCTCAACGCGAGATAAAGTGAGTAAGGACTTAAGCTTGACAGTACAATACTTAGGATTACAAAGAGAGGTATACGACCGTGAGCGCGGAGTGTGCATATCTTTGTCGCTAAGTGAACTGACTAAGCTACCTAATATAGTCATATTACCGTGGCAATCACGCTGTTACAGGGGGGGGCTCGAAGTTTTGCCAGGATGATGTCAGAAGTTTTAAATTTGCACCCCTCTTGCGCGAACATGGTATAGTAATATACATATACTGTAGCTAAGCCCCAATGGGATCGCAAGTACAAACTGCTTAAGATATATCGTACAGCTGGTAGCAACGATAGAAAGATAAAATAAAAATGTAGAACGAGACCATGGGCGACAGGCGGAGTGACTCATGACATTACTCAAATTCGAAATCATCAAAGTCATCCGTCACATTATCACGATCCACCTCGTGGTAACACATTTTGTCTGATGGAGGTGGTGGAATAAATCCACTGGAAAACGATAGTTTGTCTGTAGAGGGCCATCAGCACTTCCAAAAAATACTGCCAGGAGACCTACTAGTGGTAGAGCGGTCACATTCGTGGGCATTTTCAATGGCCACTGTATAGAGGTTTATCTCAGCTTGGGCGCGGCGCATCTTTGCCTGCAAGATAAGTAACTCCAACCCAAGGTTGCGCTGATAAACAAGTTCGCCATCGACAGTAAGAGCATGCGACGTCAGTCCTGACTGACATGTGTGTTCTGCGCAAAATGCATTGTAGAAAGCTTGAATGCCAGTGGCAACCCATGTGCTCAACATGGGTAATGATGAACCGACACACTTCAAAGACAGTGAGAATAGCCAAGTACATGAATTGCAGCACTGACGTTCAAAATAACGGATGTTCGTTTAGCTTCGTGCGTAGTAGTGGGCTCAGATATTGATGAAGGCTCGTCCAAAAAAGGGTAATTTGACATCCAAGGTTCAGCGAGGGGAAAGGCGTGTCATCTTTTTAACCAAGCTTCACAGTTATCTTGCGTTGCTGTTGAACAGGCTAGAGGGGAGCAAACTGCAGAACGTCTTGATATTTTTGAAGGAGGCCTGATGTCCCGCTTGACTGGACAAGTAGACCAGGGGACTGCTTTGTAACAATAATGTTCAGGCTACTGACTCATGTGCCAAAGTTAAGGAAGCTCACGTTTCCGGTGTTGCCGCAAGTATTCGAGGGCCTGACTGTACAAAGACACCTCCATCTGGCATTGTTTCTTCTTCTCCTCCATGAGAAGACGCTCTACAACGACATGCCCTTTGTCCTTGAAGCCATCAGTGCAGCGGCTCTGATGTTGTCGGAGTAATGTCTCCTGCTTAACTTCTATAATGTGCTCCCCAACGATTTCCCAAAGATCACCAGGATAGACTCGATCTTTCAGTAAGAACGATAGAACCTTTAATTCGGTCCGGAGCTGTATTAAATGTCTTTGAAATGTGCAAATGAATGCGAGGATATGTACGAGCCTTGTCAATTGCAATGAGCTCTATATAAGCATCCAGTAATTCCATGCCGAGTGAGTTCGCGATTCAAAGAACATTGATGCGAGTAGTTGAATCATCGAATAACTGCAAATGTGAAAAACAGGTTGACATCACGGATGAATCAATGTGACTTAGGATCTGGTATTCATGTTATTACGTGTCTTATTTGTAGCGGCGACTGAAGAACGAGCACCTGAGAAAACCATTACTATTTACAAGTCATGGCCAGCCAAAGTCTCTGGCCATCAAGAAGTTCTGATTTTCCAAGTAGGGCTACAGAGCTTTGATGACACCCAAAGAGCACAGCTAATTAGCAGGACAACAATCAGTAGAACTTAAATATGACACTCTCGTGCATGACATGATAGGCACAAGGGAAATGAAATTGCTATGTCTGGCGAGAATGGTCAAAGGAGGTGCACAGAACTAGAGCCTGCAAGCGATTAAAATCTTACACTTAGATGCAATTGCAAATTCATACACCTGAAGGCCTGTGCTTGGCCAACATGTGTCAAAACAATTGGTCCAGAGCATAATACGACTTGGATGCAGGTACCTTTTAGCAAGATTTTTCGAATGGCACGTAACTAGGCAAATTTAGTTTAATAGCCTAAATCATGCATATATTTCATGACTTACGGGGGGTGGGCAAGAGATGATCACGTTCATCCGTCTCTGCAGGATATTCGTGCTGTTGGGCAAATCATCGAATGGCTCAACGGCAAATGAGCTTCCCATTCTGTCGGTACTGAAGGTCGCTATATGGACGTCCGAATGAGCTTTGTGGAGACAAATGTTGACCTGAGAATGGGATGTCGAGCAATGAACTCTGTCCACGAGCTATGCAATTGTTCAGGGTCAATTTTCTGGGTCATTCTATAGGTGAACACATGTTGAAATCAGGCATGATGACGCCTTTGCCAGGCGCAAATGAGTGGTCTGTGCTGCAAGGTCAATGATGCCCAACTCAAGCATTGTAAGGCTCACCCCAAAGATTAAGTCGTCGGACTGGCACAAATGGTTTGCGAGAACCGAAGCAAACGTGCGAGTCAACATGGCCTGCAATGTCACTTGGCAATGGGCACATTGGCATTGAGGACATGATTGTTGATGTACCGAATGTGTCCTCACTTCTTCTCATGCAAGTCCTTGATTCGCCCAAAGTGGGGTATGAAGCATGTCTCGCAAAAACTCTCGTGAAGCACCGCAAGCTCGAAAGATAGGCGATCCGGCAATGATTTCACCCATAGATTGAATAAATAGGGAACCGTGCCACGAAGTCTTAAGCAATTAAAGTTAATCGACCGCTTGTAAAGATGAAAAACACTTACACAGGCACCACATATCTCTAGCAGCTCATCTGGAGGGTTGGGCTGCAGGTATTCAGAACGCAGTGATGACTTGGGCAGGGTTTTCACCGTCGAAGAACGTGCAGTTAAAAGGAAACACGAAGTGTAGTTGTAAAAGCTGTTGAGATCAACCGTGGTCTCATTACAGCTATTTCGAAGTGAGAGGCTAGAGATGAAGTTGGTCCATCTTGCCTTGCGATGATTGGCGAGGGAAGAGCAGTGACAAGGCCTATGAGACCAGGTAAAGGACAGATATTAGTACATTCATATTTGCTAGAGACACCAAGAGGAAGGACGGACAGGATCACAAAAATGCTCGAAAACTAACCGTCATCAAGAGCGACAACATATGAAGCACCAGTCAAGCAAAGTTGGACCCGGCGTGACACAAGGATCGCCGTACGTTCGTGCACGAGCTCTCCTTTGATGCACTTGAAGTAGGTATGATCAAGCTTTTTGTGCACCTGACAAGTTCACCTGCAAGTGCAACTGTGATCAGTATGTATGATGCTGAGTAGCAAAACGCAACATACGCTACACTCGCCAGATTCAGACTGGTCACCATCCTCAAGGATCTTGAGGTCGCTGATGAATGCGTAAGGATGCAGTCAGTTGAGCTTTAGGAGTGCAGCCGACCTCTAACGTCTTCTGATAGCGCTCTTCGTTGAATGGTAGACCTAGCAAGGTATTGTCTAAACATGGCGATAAGTGTGCTGCAAACGGTTCAATGTTCATAGCTCACCTTTGATATATGCAATCTGGTGATGAACACAAACAAATGGCCTGGCTGGTGAGGATGTCTGCCTCACCGAGTATAGCTGTATTACGTTGAGTATAATTCCAAAGTTTGCTCCATAAGACGTACCCAATAATGACAGGGTCTTTCCAATGCCCAGCTTACCACAAACGAGTGAAAGGTGTCCTTCGGGGAATTTCAGGACAAGATCAACGAGCATGAACTTGTGGCAGGGCGTATGGTGAGACAGTGATCAACGGATCACGAAAAATCACAAGTTCCAGGAGATATGGTGTTGATAGGTTGGAACATCGTGGACTCAGGACGAGGAACAATATTCAGTGTAGTTCGGTTGAATACCAGCCTGCATACGGTATTTACCGAAACCTTGTTTTGTGCTGATGCGGCGCCCGATCGACCAATATCTGATATCTTGCTGAGTCACACGGACATACTTAGTTTACAGTGAGAGGTAAACCAGAGGATGGGTAGATGAGCGCATGCAGGATCGGTTTGATCGTAAATAATCGTGAACGGGTACCAGTGTATGTAAGGCAGCAGCAGCGGCATTAATGTAGCGGCCAGACAAGGCTTAATGGTGGTAGTCTAAGTATGTAGCAAGTTGAAGTCGAAAACTAGATGTGTTGGTGGTGGTGATATGCTACAATATGGTATATGATTCGGAACACAGTGGGGGTAAGGCATGAAATGAAGATCATGATAGCATCTCAGTCATATCTAGAAATGTTTGTTCAAATTGGTGAAACGAAAGTCATAGCACTCACACGAAACAACGATTTAACTTTATTTGCGACACGGAGGACCATGTCCTTGATCAACGCACTTCGGGGCGGCAGGGGTGGCGGGGGCAGCAGAGCGACCGATTGGTCAGGGTGCTGGATAAATTTGGTAAACCACCGGCAGCAGTAAACCGACCGCCTTACTGAATCTAGCCAGAAATCCACCTGTGTCTAAAGTGATACTTATATATGTACGTGCTGCTGATCATAAAAGTTGTGACCTACCAAGACTTTTCTTCCATTCATGGGCAGCGGCCCCATCATAGCCATTTGTGCTAAGTGTGACATCTCATGTAGAATGTGGGGTGGGAGCTGGATGCGGCTGATACATAAATCACCCAAAGTAGAATAATTGAGGGAATAGCCACTGGAATAATTGATCAATTGTATCACGATAGCAAATAAGGACAAACAACTGAAATTAATTCGGGTTTTTCCGAAAACATTTCCTCCCACCTCAGGCTGAAGACCCGTTACTCTGTCACTCTGATGCTCTCCATATTTCGTCCAGCCACAGCCAAGTGTAGAATCTGGCCTTCGACGACCTCGCTTTCTCATACGCTTGTGAAGGTGCGGTCATCAGGCTTTTTGCCACCATGGGAGATCTGACTCACCTGATCTCTATCTAGGAATGACGGTAAGTGTTCCTTCCCTTGCCTCTTTCAGCCCAAGCTGAACATGAGAACCGTGGTTCATATATCATCCATCAGGCTCTCCATTGATTTCGGTCTGTACTATTCAACGTCGTAGGGTGTAACACGTGGAAGCTTTAGAGATGAGAAGGGAGCGTGAGCAGACGAGAGATGGGAGTGGGGACTTAGGCGTGAGGGGGTGAGTATGTCCTCTGTTCAGACAAACATTTACCTGATGTATCCGTTATTGATTCAGCAAAGCCTGGCCTTTCCACGAATAGACGATGATGGGTGCAACTTGGTGGTCCTGGTACCCAACCCGCGGGTACTTTAAAGGGCCACTCGCACCCGCACAGGTCAGGTTATCTTGAGTGTGGTGGATCCAGCTGATATAGTCATGATCTGTCGAGCGGAGGGTTGATTGAGACAAGGTTTATCAGTACACGTTCATGGTAACGCCCGGTGGATGGATTCCGTAGTCTTATACACAAATATTGAACTTTCATGTTAGTCGAACCACTGTCCGTGTGTAAGCTCGTTCATGAAGGTGTGTCCTTTAAGATATCAACATGTAGCATGAATAAACAGTAATGATATTCTGTGTCAAATTACATCATCGAAGCATGAACTGCATGCCTGCAGATCATCTCTTTGTGAGTGAATGGAAATGAATACTGCATTTGGAAGACTGAGAAGATGATGGTCAATTTCGGCGATAGGTTCAATATGTTTGAGCAGTCTCGGTGGCGCACCCACGCGGGTTTTAGGGCAGGGGTTCTTAGAGCCCATCTGTCACGAGTTCCAAATACAAACCATTATACGTTCCTAAACTCGAAGTCCTTTAAGCGCCCAGTCACAGCGCCTATTACTAAGAAAGTATTTATAGTTGAAGATGTTCCAACAACGGCGTCTATTGTAGAGATACCCAAAGAACCTATGAACGAGTCACGTGACTTATCGGAATATGCCGGACTAAACTTTATTCCAAACGACCCTAACAGAATGTTCCAGAACCTTACGATTGCTGCGACACATGTTATGACATCATAGTTATATATAGAATCGTACAATATCACTTTATTATTTGATTGGTAGTTAGTTCAGACTCAGTTTCAATCTCAGTTACAAATATGTGTATATAGGTAGTGTCTTGTAGTCAGTAGTTCTTTAGTTCAAACCTCTTGTATCTCCAAGTGAGCAATCCAAGACGTACCTGCTGCCTTATCCTCTTTGTGATTATCTTGTTGTTTGAGTCCTAGTCTCTGCCCAGCGTTAATTCGTTATTGGGTTGTGACATTAGGTTTGAACTATAGGAGACTCCGACTCTCGCGTTACACTCTCGCACATATCTTTCTTTGCTTGGCCATATTGAAAGTCTTTTCATATCATCATTCAAACAAAGCCGTTTTTACTCTTTGCCTGGTCTAAACAACCGAGACCTTTCATCATCATTTGCTCATTTGAGCGCAAACTTCATACCTATCCGCTTTATTAGTTAGTAGTCCTATACCAGGCCCTGTCTTATCACAGCCGCCAGTATACGGAGGTGTTGACGACATTAGGCGTCTCACTACAACTTTGAGTGCTGGCCCAAAACCCTGCCTGCTCAACGTTACTATAATTTCCTTTTACCTATTCCTTTTTCATTACGCACGTAGGCATTCGTTTCGAGTCAATAGCGGAACTGTCTAGACGACAAACCATGCTTTTGACCTACGAGGATTTAGAGACATACCCTAGTGAGACTCGCACTTGTAAGCTTCGGCTGGAAGAGTGATAACTTGTCCTAGGCTTGTACCCTCAAAACGGAGATTGCATTGTCCCTAGTTTTTCCCACTCGATCGAGTATAGTTTACATATCTTTTGTTAGTCAGTATTAGGGAAGCGTCAGTGTGGGATTTTACCAGAACCCCTTGACCCTGAGCCAGTGGTAGATCTGATCAGATATCAGGGACCGCTCAGTTTTCCATTACATAACTTCCTCCTTTTTCACCATCATCCCTTTTTGGAAGAGCCCTTACGAGCAGCTCTTCAAAGACATCAGTAAATCGGGTTCCAGAACACAACTGGTACTATGTCTTCACAACCAGGACCTCAACCTGTGCAAACTCAAGAGCAGTGGTTCTTGCAATACGTACAAGACCAAATTACTGCAAGCAGCAGTATTCTTCTGCAAAAAATAGCAGAACTGGAACAGAAGAACCAGGAACTAGCCACCAAAAATGGAGACCTGGAACTGTGCTTGAAAGCACAGGAAGACGAGTCGGTCAAAAGAGCCGCTCACCAACCCTCGTTCGGAACAGCAGGGGCTGCAATGATGGCACCCACAACCCCGAACATCAAATTCGCCAAACCCACAGACTTCACTGGAGAGAAGGACTCCATAGACGCACAAACTTGGGCTGCCCAAATCTGCCTGTACCAAACACAATGGCCGAACATCACCGAAAAGCAAAGAATCTTGGTCATGCTATCGTTCATGAAAGGAGCAGCTGGAAAATGGGCGCAAAAATATATCGAGGAACATGCGCAAGGAAAACTTACCATGGATAGGCTCGATGAAGAATTCTCTGCTATGTGGAAGCAGGAAGACCAAGAAGGGAAGGCGATAAGAGACTTGGATTCTCTTAAACAAGGATCTTCATCAGTCCCAGAGTACGCAGCCGCTTTCAGACAAAAGGCTGCACACACATCATTCTCCAACTACGACCAGCGACAAAAGTTCAGAAATGGACTTCAAGACCGTGTCAAAATTCAGCTCGCACATGTCCCTTACAAGGACAAAGACACCATGAAGAAACTGGTGGAACATGCGATCCAAATCGGACGCAACTTCGAGGAATTAGACACGGACAAGAAGAAGACTACGTGGTGGACTCCAAAACAAGGAGGTACCAGAAACCACAAAAGCAAAGCAGGTCCGAGTAGAGAGAGTGATGCCATGGACGTCAACTCCGGAAGGCAAAAGTGGGCTCCCAAACCCCAAGGAAAGACAGGTTCTTTCAAATGCTACCGATGTGGAGGAGAAGGTCACATGGCAAGAAACTGCAAAGACGCAGTCGCGCCAAAAGCGCAGGTGAAGGCTACTACAGTGCCAAAAGAAGAGAACTCTATGCCACAGTGGTTCAAAGACTGGACTGCTAGCAAGGAAAGCAAGGGTTTTTAGAAGGGTCAAAGTCAAAGTCTGCGAACTTAGACCCGAACAATCGTTTCTCCATTCTATCTACGTTTTCGGATGTATCGGAAGTATATATTAAATCCAAATCTGAGCATTTTTATATTCCGATTACGTTGAAAGGAGGGAACCGACAAGCAGAGATAAAAGCATTAGTGGACTGTGGAGCATCAACATTATTTATCAGTGAGAAATTCGTGAAAAAGAATGAGGTCCGGTGTTGTAAATTATTAAGACCTATTCCGGTTAAAAATATTGATGGCTCGCTAAATGCCGCTGGATCAATGACACACTTCGCAGAACTAGGTCTAAAGATCGGTGACCATGTTGAGGATAAAGCAGCCTTCATGGTTACGGACCTAGGAAACGATGATGTTATTATCGGCATAGATTGGCTGAGATATCATAATCCGGAAATAGATTGGAACGCTGGACGATTTGCACTTTCTCGATGCCCGGTTAAATGTATCACCAAAAAAGAACAAAGACAAAAAAGACAGAAGAAGTGCCAGATCTGATTCCCACAGAAGAGGATGACGAAGAAGACATGGCGATGAAAAGGGCGACGGTCGAGGAAATAGAAGACGAAGAGTATCCTGGAGAATGGATCAAG